ATCACGTGACAAATTTTTCGACTCCCAGATACTTGATAAGTTGCTGTTATATTAAAATGCAAGAAATCTAGGCAAAGTACTCTGGAAAAGGCTTAGAAATAAGCATTTTAACTCAGCCTCGTTCCCATGTAGGGGCCTAATATGTCATTTTTTGACATGCACGTAGCGCGCTTCTGGGTGGAAATTTGCGATGGCTCCATATCAGAAAATGTTTACCTTATAGAGGTTAGTCATCCTGGGAAGTTTCATGCTTTTATCACAAAATGAACAATTCTGGTTATTTTTGGCTCTTAACAGCAGGATTACATAGGGCACTTCAACAGAGAACTGGTATTATACCACTTAAAACATGTACATTTAAAAAAATCAAAACTAGAACTCAATTTAAAACTCAAACAGAAGTACAAAAAATTAACTGAATTTGCTTGTAGAATGGGCAACTTGCCAGTGGATTGGAACATTCACCATAATGTCACCATGTGGCATGGAAAAGAAGTTTGAATATAATGGTAGAAGAAGGGCAGTAGAAACGAAAACCTTACAAAAGCTGAAAAATAGGTCTTGTAGTTAACCACTACATGTATCTCACTAGTTAGAAATACCATGCATTGATCTATACAGTGTACAATGAAGTAACAAGGGCAACAGACCTAAAAAGATTTAAAACTGAATTTAATGGCCTTTCTTTAAAAACATTCTAGCAAACTGTTCACCTGTCTGCGAGCCAGTTTGGCAGCAAGTGTTAGAGGAGTGAAACCGAGTTTGTTAACAACATCTGTATGTGGTTTTGCACAATGAGATGCACAGTGACAGCCATAACCCAAGATGAGATCATACATGTCCTGAAAAATGTTGCACATTGAAACATTATAATTGGCATAAAATACCACTGATAAGCTAGTAAATACGTTTTGTCAAACACAGAATAGACTAATTTTCTGTGCAAAAACCAGTCACAACAACATCACTTGAGTTGTATCATAAAATATTTCAAAGGTCGTTTTTAACATTGAAGAACTTAGTTAACGTTTAATTTGATATATAAATGTTAATTATCAAATGGTCAAGGAATCGCATGCATTGTAATCAATACGTTTGAGTTCATGAAGCATGCTTCATAAAACAAGTGGCCTATGCCATGTGTAGTCCTGTCATAAGGTAGTATTTTGTGATACATGTAGCAAGCAGAATGACAAAAGTAGTATGGAGTAAAGGCTAGTTGGGATGCATTCATTACACATGTAAGTCAGGATTGTGAACTTCACTTGGAATTAGGAAGCAAATAATTTACCATTGGAGACAAAATTGCTGGCTGTTGGCAAATAATTATTGAAACTGCAGGTGACTTAACCATATTATTAATATACATGTTCAACTTCACAAGTCTGAAAAAGCACAAGGAATTTCTTGTAATGAACAATTAACATGCCCCACTCACACATTTCTTAGAACACTTGGACCTTCAGTCCAAGAAGTACTAGCCACATCTCATGCAAATCTATGTACTTCAATACAATGTAGCCAATGACCTTAAAAATCATTGGTGCTTACACATGCATGTACTTGTCATGTGCGCGGCTTTCTAGGTATGCACATGTGTTATTAGTCAGTTGTTGTGTCCCATTGATGCTAAATAATAGAACACAATCAATCTTAAAAGAGCTCAGTTATGGCATTTTGAGTTATTTTGGCCACATACAACATTACCTTTACACTGAAGAAAACCTGAAAATGTAGTTTACTAGATGGATGATACAAAATGACAAATTTTAAATTTTTTACTAGATGTGAAACTGTGACGTAGCTCCTTTAAGATCAATATTTAATCTCATACCATCCTGTTGTGTATAACCATCATGTGTAAGACAGTGTTGCCATTTGTATCCTGTTTATTGGGGCATGCTCCTTTCACTAACAAGTAGCGCACCATATCCTCCAAGCCAAGGCTTGCTGCAAATGACAATGGATATTCTCCCCAGTATGTGTTGCTGTAGAAAAAGAGAGGCACATGTACACACTTAGAAACTACAGAGACTATCAAAGTATACAACAGTCTTGTACAGTAAAAGATCAGGACTCAAAGATCCTGGTCAAAAATCATTAAGATCTCTGAGGATCTTGACTGAATTCTTGACTGGATCATCAGACTTCTTGACCACAATCCTTTAGGATCTTCAAAGATTTTGCTCAAATATCTTGCAAGATCTTTGAAGATCATGGAGGATCCTTGCAAAGATAACTGCAAAATGTTTCTCTTAGAAATATTATTTTGAGATAAAAACTTGTGCACATGTAGTTTGTCTCTTATTTATCATAGAGAACAGACAACAACTCAAAGTTTTAAATTTAACAAACACATTTTGTCGTTTTGAACATTTAAACTTACTTGTTACTTGACCTTTGGATATTATTTTGGTGAAAAATGTTTTTAATAATTTATTAACAAACAATCTATCGTAACTGCCAAAAGTTGGCAAGATTCACACTACTTCCATCACAAAATTGACATCATTACTCATTTTGTTCCTCACCTTTCATAATTGGTCTCGTCACTAAGAACAATACCCTCCTGAACAGGATGATCTTTCCTTGATTTTCGCTGATCCTCCGGGCAAAAGAAAGCCCCATAGGCACGCTCATGAATGTCAGCACCATGCTTGCAAAGGAAATGAACCATTTCTTGATTTTCATTCACTATTGCCATGTGCAGGGCACTCTCCCCTGAAAACAGCATTAGTTACCCATTAGTCATTATTCCACAATACTATTGTGTTCCAGTGTGGAACCAGATTATTGCAAGCATCTGCCTTGCTTAAATAATCAACATTCCATACTCCATTTCATTGCTAGATACTTGATGCAAGCTATAACAGAGTGTACAACAAAATAATACTGTATTCGATAAAGTTTATGTGATGATAGAAACATGTACAGTGTACGTCGTGTGTCATACACAAAAATGACAGCATACTGCTGATACTTATTCACAAGATTATGATACTATATCACTGGATATCACTGTTTACATTATAGTTCCAATTTACATCAAGAAGTTCTGCTTAAATGTGGTAAAAGAAAAGGTACAGCATAGGTAGCAAATTTGAATGCATGTACACCATTCCACAGAAGGGTACCATTGAAAAATGTACATATAAGGACATTCCAGATCAAGGACTTACTACATTATCACATGTTCCCTCAGCATGTTGAAAGACAAAGAAAAAAAGATAAAATGTTGAAGACAAAAATGAGCACTGAATGTGAAAAACATGTTGCTTTCTCAAAATATTTACATGTATCTCAAGATCATACTTCTCTTCTTACCATAAAACTCATCACCGATGTAAATATCATTGACAAGAGGTGGATACTTCTTAATGATGATCTTGGCAATTTCATAATGTACACAAGTGGCATTCAGGAAACACAAGTGAAGAATGTTTTCTCCCACAGCAGCACGCTGGTCAATATCCCAGCAGACAGGTCTTGTGGTACTGCCTACAGTGGAGGTTGAGATGAAAATAAGAGAACTGTTATTAAACAATCTCAGAAAGGAAATACATGTACAGTTGAACCTCCAGTTGAGACCACCTCTCGTAAGCAACCACCTCTCCTCAGCGACTAGTTTTCCAAAATACCAAAACTTTCCCAGTCATATCACTATATTTGGAACCTCTTGTAAGCAACCACCTCTCATAAGCGACCATGGCCACTTTTAGAGCTACAGTAAAAGTTTGAAGTTTTCTTCTGTTTTTGACCTAAGTACTGTAAATGACCATTTGACAGATACTGTAGCAGAGATTGGATAATAAGGCGTTGTTAATATTATCGCATTCCTGGGATGTACAAGAGACGGAAATTCTCAATGGGAATTACAGGCTGGAATATTTTCTCGAAGTTGATGCACATTTATGGTGCCAAGTTTCAAGAACACTGCTTCAATATTTCCAGACATATCGTTTATTCAGTATTTTACCACTTTTTAGTTGCAAACAATATGACATCATCTCTGATCTAATTTGCATGACAGAAAAATGTCAATATCTCTAAAACAAAAAAAGATATTTCAAAAAGAAAAACGCCATTCTTTTGTATTTTGAAAGGCCTTTCAAATAAGCAGGAATTATTTTTCATGTCATATGCACGTTAAAAGCATATAAACATTATCTTTAACATTGGTCTGAGAACTATTAAATTATTATTTATTAGTTTCTGCTATTTAGCAGATCTGAAATGGGATATTGATTTAAGGGTCAGGTCTTAAATAGGGTATCAAATTTTTGGTCAGGCGATAAATCACAGATTTTCATCTTAAATAGGGCAAGGTTTTCGGGAAGTAGGCTACACATATCCACTCAATGTTTCTGGAAGTACCTTAGCCCCACCCCAGGTTCTTGACTAAAGTGAAATCCATTTACTTCAAGCTCCATTAGAAGAGTAGAAAGAGCAACATCATCATAACATCAGACCATGTCAGATTTGTTATTTTCAGCAAACTTAGTTTATAATCTTACACTGTCAATTACCTTTGTCATGAGTGTTCTCCTCTGTTTTCAGTCAAGAAATGAGGACTGATGATGAATGATGTTATGTGTCATATTAATTGTCACTTTCACTGTTAATACTGTTATTTTGAATCCCTGCTATTTCAAAATGTTCATTTTTATCTTTTGTCTCAAGGTTACTGTTAACAAAATACTTTAGGGTACCTTCTGGGAAAATCTTTCCATGCAAGCTATTTTAAAAGAAAACCCAGAAACCTATATATAATCACTAAAAAGCTAATAAAATGTAGATTCTGAAAATATCAATATTTCTAACCACTTTGTTTTGGTACATATGCATGAGCCTCTAAAGGCAAAACTGACAGTGTTTGCTTAACTGAATTACGGCCCTTTGTGTTTCCGCAGACATCCAAACAGACTGGACTATATCACTCAGCAGTAGATAAGCTAACAAAGTGTGGGGCTTTTTCAATATTCATATTGGTTCCTGAGAAAATCTACTTTAAAGTTGGACAACAGCAAATTTTTCAGTTGATATGCAATGGGATGTCACACAAAAAATGTGTAGAATTTTGCGAAATTGCTTGGTTAATATTTGAAGAACATTCTGGCCATGTTTCATTAAAATCTGATAAATCTACATAACCTATAAATTCATTTGAATAGAGGTTACCACACGAAAAACAAACCCCAAGTTTTTGGCCTCTAAAGAATTTCACAGTTTTCGCACCTCATTAAGGTGGTTGCCAATGTGGTCATGTCGTCGACTAATGAAACACAAAGAGAAAACACCCAGCGAGTTTCGTAATAAAGGAGTACATTGAAATTCACCGGAAAGGTCACTTCACATGACCTCACCAGAGGAAAAAAAATTTACAATGGGCAAAACAAGGTCTTTGGAAAATTCATAGTCGAAAAACAAACAGACAGAAAGGCAGGCAAAGCAAACGAGGAAAGAAGAAAAAGGCAAGTGCGAACAAGGGTGGAATTGACTTCAGACATTTGCCGGTTGCAGCTATCAATGGACACAGGTAAATATTTCCTTCAGCTTTCCTTTGACAGTGTCTTCCAGGTCTTCCTTCTCTGTGTTAGCCATTGAATTAACACAAATCCCTTTTCCAGAAATGACTGGGATTTCTTTGTCAGAAATCTTGAGGCGAGCGTAGAAAAAAGTGAAAGACAGAAAGCCACCACAAAGAATTTGGATTACCGGATTATGACACCTTTCACTATTCATTACCAGTTCCCCCAAAACACTCTTTTCATTGTACATGTATTTCACATCCTTTTTAAGATTTTCAATTTTTTTTTCTCAACAAATGAAACTTGAATGCTTTCCCTAACTAAACAGCAAAAAAACGAAATTTTGAAAGATTCTGTTAACAGTAACCTTCAGTTCCACTTTAGTTCCACCATGTTACAAGGTCTCAAATTTACTATTCACTTCCCCTTACAAAACTATGTCAAATGTTTCATTTTAACACCAAAATATGGTTTTTCACAATGATGACAATTATAGTAGAAGAAAACAACATGCACCCTATCCAAAACAGGATACATTTTCTCCCAGCAGGGTGACATTATAGAGCTCAGTGTATTAAATGTCATGGCAAGACCAAATTTTAAACTGACCCTTGACATGACCTTCCGGCCTCAAGAGTCCTCATGGGCCCGATGAGGATGAGTGAGTGTTGACAGGACCTCATGTTAGCCCTACCTATCACATGACTATGAAAATTTAATGTCTACAGTATTTTATAATGCACTATTAAATGATCAAATCCACTTACCAGTATTTTCAGTTAATTCGTAATTATCCATACCAACATTTTCGATTGTATTTTCAACTCGACTGGTGCACTTGGTGAGGAAAGACACAACAGCGTTTTCTTTCTTCGAAGGCACCTTATCCTCGCGACTCTGTCTTCTCCAATGCACAAGCTCTCTTATTTCGATGGCCTTTCCAGCACCATTGTTGTATAAAAACTTTTCGCGAAACCCCTCGATGAGTTTTTCGACTTCGCTGAAGTTTTTCGTAGCTTGAGCTCTCCTAAATGCATCCACAAGGTTCCCTCCTCCATTCAAATCCACGAACTTGTACAACTCATTCGAACTTTTTTGCGTTTGCTTTATAACGTCTTTTCCTGCTCCTTTGGCTTCTCCCATGATAAGCTTGCAATTAATTCTTCACAGAATCATGCTTAAACCTTTAGGTTATTAGCTTAACTACCACTATAGAGCAGGTGTTGTCACTTCTGATATTTTCTGTTTAATACTCTAGAATGGTTGTCAGGTATGCCGCGCTCTCCAACCAACAAGTTTGTGATTAAAAATACCTCATGTATCACGCCAAACGTACAATTGCAGGTGTTCGTCCAGAGAAGATCTGCATTTTCTCATATTTCGTGAGCCGTTTTAGAGCAAAGACAGGAAAATACGAGGACAGTGGAGTGGAACGAAAAACAAAGATGGCGATGGAAGAGAAAGACTGGTCACAAAGGCGCCTTTGATCGCGGGCTCTAACAAAAACTTTAGATTTTGAGGAGATTTTGTGACGACTTTTGAGTCTTTTGAGACTGATTTTGTTTGCTTGTTTTTTGATTTTATGTTTATTTCTTGAATATTTTGGTTAAACACAGGGCGATGATAGCGAGACGATACCTTGTCCAAAATGAAATAACAAAAGGTATACAATGTGTACATGTGGCAACGTGTTTATTTTTGATACCATGACTGACCTGTATTAAGCGGACACCCTTGGGACACTCACTAGTGTCCGCTTAATACAGGGTGTCCGCTCTAAAAAGGTTCTAACATGTTGGAGAGTAACTCAGTGTAACACAGTGTAAGATCAAAGACTGCTCATAACTCAATGTCCAGTCAGTCAATGCATCAATCTGGAATAATCTACCTATCTTTAAAACGACATCGCTGAACTATATTAAAGGATCTTAAAGGAGTCTGGGATGAACTTTTAGAAGTAAAAAGCCCTTAAAGTGTCCGCTTATTGCAGGTTTTGTTCAACAAAATGGCTTAATATTGTCACAATATTGGTGTTCTCGTCCGCTTAACAGNAGCACAAGGAATTTCTTGTAATGAACAATTAACATGCCCCACTCACACATTTCTTAGAACACTTGGACCTTCAGTCCAAGAAGTGCTAGCCACATCTCATGCAAATCTATGTACTTCAATACAATGTAGCCAATGACCTTAAAAATTATTGGTGCTTACACATGCATGTACTTGTCATGTGCGCGGCTTTCTAGGTATGCACATGTGTTATTAGTCAGTTGTTGTGTCCCATTGATGCTAAATAATAGAACACAATCAATCTTAAAAGAGCTCAGTTATGGCATTTTGAGTTATTTTGGCCACATACAACATTACCTTTACACTGAAGAAAACCTGAAAATGTAGTTTACTAGATGGATGATACAAAATGACAAATTTTAAATTTTTTACTAGATGTGAAACTGTGACGTAGCTCCTTTAAGATCAATATTTAATCTCATACCATCCTGTTGTGTATAACCATCATGTGTAAGACAGTGTTGCCATTTGTATCCTGTTTATTGGGGCATGCTCCTTTCACTAACAAGTAGCGCACCATATCCTCCAAGCCAAGGCTTGCTGCAAATGACAATGGATATTCTCCCCAGTATGTGTTGCTGTAGAAAAAGAGAGGCACATGTACACACTTAGAAACTACAGAGACTATCAAAGTATACAACAGTCTTGTACAGTAAAAGATCAGGACTCAAAGATCCTGGTCAAAAATCATTAAGATCTCTGAGGATCTTGACTGAATTCTTGACTGGATCATCAGACTTCTTGACCACAATCCTTTAGGATCTTCAAAGATTTTGCTCAAATATCTTGCAAGATCTTTGAAGATCATGGAGGATCCTTGCAAAGATAACTGCAAAATGTTTCTCTTAGAAATATTATTTTGAGATAAAAACTTGTGCACATGTAGTTTGTCTCTTATTTATCATAGAGAACAGACAACAACTCAAAGTTTTAAATTTAACAAACACATTTTGTCGTTTTGAACATTTAAACTTACTTGTTACTTGACCTTTGGATATTATTTTGGTGAAAAATGTTTTTAATAATTTATTAACAAACAATCTATCGTAACTGCCAAAAGTTGGCAAGATTCACACTACTTCCATCACAAAATTGACATCATTACTCATTTTGTTCCTCACCTTTCATAATTGGTCTCGTCACTAAGAACAATACCCTCCTGAACAGGATGATCTTTCCTTGATTTTCGCTGATCCTCCGGGCAAAAGAAAGCCCCATAGGCACGCTCATGAATGTCAGCACCATGCTTGCAAAGGAAATGAACCATTTCTTGATTTTCATTCACTATTGCCATGTGCAGGGCACTCTCCCCTGAAAACAGCATTAGTTACCCATTAGTCATTATTCCACAATACTATTGTGTTCCAGTGTGGAACCAGATTATTGCAAGCATCTGCCTTGCTTAAATAATCAACATTCCATACTCCATTTCATTGCTAGATACTTGATGCAAGCTATAACAGAGTGTACAACAAAATAATACTGTATTCGATAAAGTTTATGTGATGATAGAAACATGTACAGTGTACGTCGTGTGTCATACACAACAATGACAGCATACTGCTGATACTTATTCACAAGATTTTGATACTATATCACTGGATATCACTGTTTACATTGTAGTTCCAATTTACATCAAGAAGTTCTGCTTAAATGTGGTAAAAGAAAAGGTACAGCATAGGTAGCAAATTTGAATGCATGTACACCATTCCACAGAAGGGTACCATTGAAAAATGTACATATAAGGACATTCCAGATCAAGGACTTACTACATTATCACATGTTCCCTCAGCATGTTGAAAGACAAAGAAAAAAAGATAAAATGTTGAAGACAAAAATGAGCACTGAATGTGAAAAACATGTTGCTTTCTCAAAATATTTACATGTATCTCAAGATCATACTTCTCTTCTTACCATAAAACTCATCACCGATGTAAATATCATTGACAAGAGGTGGATACTTCTTAATGATGATCTTGGCAATTTCATAATGTACACAAGTGGCATTCAGGAAACACAAGTGAAGAATGTTTTCTCCCACAGCAGCACGCTGGTCAATATCCCAGCAGACAGGTCTTGTGGTACTGCCTACAGTGGAGGTTGAGATGAAAATAAGAGAACTGTTATTAAACAATCTCAGAAAGGAAATACATGTACAGTTGAACCTCCAGTTGAGACCACCTCTCGTAAGCAACCACCTCTCCTCAGCGACTAGTTTTCCAAAATACCAAAACTTTCCCAGTCATATCACTATATTTGGAACCTCTTGTAAGCAACCACCTCTCATAAGCGACCATGGCCACTTTTAGAGCTACAGTAAAAGTTTGAAGTTTTCTTCTGTTTTTGACCTAAGTACTGTAAATGACCATTTGACAGATACTGTAGCAGAGATTGGATAATAAGGCGTTGTTAATATTATCGCATTCCTGGGATGTACAAGAGACGGAAATTCTCAATGGGAATTACAGGCTGGAATATTTTCTCGAAGTTGATGCACATTTATGGTGCCAAGTTTCAAGAACACTGCTTCAATATTTCCAGACATATCGTTTATTCAGTATTTTACCACTTTTTAGTTGCAAACAATATGACATCATCTCTGATCTAATTTGCATGACAGAAAAATGTCAATATCTCTAAAACAAAAAAAGATATTTCAAAAAGAAAAACGCCATTCTTTTGTATTTTGAAAGGCCTTTCAAATAAGCAGGAATTATTTTTCATGTCATATGCACGTTAAAAGCATATAAACATTATCTTTAACATTGGTCTGAGAACTATTAAATTATTATTTATTAGTTTCTGCTATTTAGCAGATCTGAAATGGGATATTGATTTAAGGGTCAGGTCTTAAATAGGGTATCAAATTTTTGGTCAGGCGATAAATCACAGATTTTCATCTTAAATAGGGCAAGGTTTTCGGGAAGTAGGCTACACATATCCACTCAATGTTTCTGGAAGTACCTTAGCCCCACCCCAGGTTCTTGACTAAAGTGAAATCCATTTACTTCAAGCTCCATTAGAAGAGTAGAAAGAGCAACATCATCATAACATCAGACCATGTCAGATTTGTTATTTTCAGCAAACTTAGTTTATAATCTTACACTGTCAATTACCTTTGTCATGAGTGTTCTCCTCTGTTTTCAGTCAAGAAATGAGGACTGATGATGAATGATGTTATGTGTCATATTAATTGTCACTTTCACTGTTAATACTGTTATTTTGAATCCCTGCTATTTCAAAATGTTCATTTTTATCTTTTGTCTCAAGGTTACTGTTAACAAAATACTTTAGGGTACCTTCTGGGAAAATCTTTCCATGCAAGCTATTTTAAAAGAAAACCCAGAAACCTATATATAATCACTAAAAAGCTAATAAAATGTAGATTCTGAAAATATCAATATTTCTAACCACTTTGTTTTGGTACATATGCATGAGCCTCTAAAGGCAAAACTGACAGTGTTTGCTTAACTGAATTACGGCCCTTTGTGTTTCCGCAGACATCCAAACAGACTGGACTATATCACTCAGCAGTAGATAAGCTAACAAAGTGTGGGGCTTTTTCAATATTCATATTGGTTCCTGAGAAAATCTACTTTAAAGTTGGACAACAGCAAATTTTTCAGTTGATATGCAATGGGATGTCACACAAAAAATGTGTAGAATTTTGCGAAATTGCTTGGTTAATATTTGAAGAACATTCTGGCCATGTTTCATTAAAATCTGATAAATCTACATAACCTATAAATTCATTTGAATAGAGGTTACCACACGAAAAACAAACCCCAAGTTTTTGGCCTCTAAAGAATTTCACAGTTTTCGCACCTCATTAAGGTGGTTGCCAATGTGGTCATGTCGTCGACTAATGAAACACAAAGAGAAAACACCCAGCGAGTTTCGTAATAAAGGAGTACATTGAAATTCACCGGAAAGGTCACTTCACATGACCTCACCAGAGGAAAAAAAATTTACAATGGGCAAAACAAGGTCTTTGGAAAATTCATAGTCGAAAAACAAACAGACAGAAAGGCAGGCAAAGCAAACGAGGAAAGAAGAAAAAGGCAAGTGCGAACAAGGGTGGAATTGACTTCAGACATTTGCCGGTTGCAGCTATCAATGGACACAGGTAAATATTTCCTTCAGCTTTCCTTTGACAGTGTCTTCCAGGTCTTCCTTCTCTGTGTTAGCCATTGAATTAACACAAATCCCTTTTCCAGAAATGACTGGGATTTCTTTGTCAGAAATCTTGAGGCGAGCGTAGAAAAAAGTGAAAGACAGAAAGCCACCACAAAGAATTTGGATTACCGGATTATGACACCTTTCACTATTCATTACCAGTTCCCCCAAAACACTCTTTTCATTGTACATGTATTTCACATCCTTTTTAAGATTTTCAATTTTTTTTTCTCAACAAATGAAACTTGAATGCTTTCCCTAACTAAACAGCAAAAAAACGAAATTTTGAAAGATTCTGTTAACAGTAACCTTCAGTTCCACTTTAGTTCCACCATGTTACAAGGTCTCAAATTTACTATTCACTTCCCCTTACAAAACTATGTCAAATGTTTCATTTTAACACCAAAATATGGTTTTTCACAATGATGACAATTATAGTAGAAGAAAACAACATGCACCCTATCCAAAACAGGATACATTTTCTCCCAGCAGGGTGACATTATAGAGCTCAGTGTATTAAATGTCATGGCAAGACCAAATTTTAAACTGACCCTTGACATGACCTTCCGGCCTCAAGAGTCCTCATGGGCCCGATGAGGATGAGTGAGTGTTGACAGGACCTCATGTTAGCCCTACCTATCACATGACTATGAAAATTTAATGTCTACAGTATTTTATAATGCACTATTAAATGATCAAATCCACTTACCAGTATTTTCAGTTAATTCGTAATTATCCATACCAACATTTTCGATTGTATTTTCAACTCGACTGGTGCACTTGGTGAGGAAAGACACAACAGCGTTTTCTTTCTTCGAAGGCACCTTATCCTCGCGACTCTGTCTTCTCCAATGCACAAGCTCTCTTATTTCGATGGCCTTTCCAGCACCATTGTTGTATAAAAACTTTTCGCGAAACCCCTCGATGAGTTTTTCGACTTCGCTGAAGTTTTTCGTAGCTTGAGCTCTCCTAAATGCATCCACAAGGTTCCCTCCTCCATTCAAATCCACGAACTTGTACAACTCATTCGAACTTTTTTGCGTTTGCTTTATAACGTCTTTTCCTGCTCCTTTGGCTTCTCCCATGATAAGCTTGCAATTAATTCTTCACAGAATCATGCTTAAACCTTTAGGTTATTAGCTTAACTACCACTATAGAGCAGGTGTTGTCACTTCTGATATTTTCTGTTTAATACTCTAGAATGGTTGTCAGGTATGCCGCGCTCTCCAACCAACAAGTTTGTGATTAAAAATACCTCATGTATCACGCCAAACGTACAATTGCAGGTGTTCGTCCAGAGAAGATCTGCATTTTCTCATATTTCGTGAGCCGTTTTAGAGCAAAGACAGGAAAATACGAGGACAGTGGAGTGGAACGAAAAACAAAGATGGCGATGGAAGAGAAAGACTGGTCACAAAGGCGCCTTTGATCGCGGGCTCTAACAAAAACTTTAGATTTTGAGGAGATTTTGTGACGACTTTTGAGTCTTTTGAGACTGATTTTGTTTGCTTGTTTTTTGATTTTATGTTTATTTCTTGAATATTTTGGTTAAACACAGGGCGATGATAGCGAGACGATACCTTGTCCAAAATGAAATAACAAAAGGTATACAATGTGTACATGTGGCAACGTGTTTATTTTTGATACCATGACTGACCTGTATTAAGCGGACACCCTTGGGACACTCACTAGTGTCCGCTTAATACAGGGTGTCCGCTCTAAAAAGGTTCTAACATGTTGGAGAGTAACTCAGTGTAACACAGTGTAAGATCAAAGACTGCTCATAACTCAATGTCCAGTCAGTCAATGCATCAATCTGGAATAATCTACCTATCTTTAAAACGACATCGCTGAACTATATTAAAGGATCTTAAAGGAGTCTGGGATGAACTTTTAGAAGTAAAAAGCCCTTAAAGTGTCCGCTTATTGCAGGTTTTGTTCAACAAAATGGCTTAATATTGTCACAATATTGGTGTTCTCGTCCGCTTAACAGAAGTGTCCGCTGAATGCAGGTTTATTTTACAGTAAATATGGGAAGAAAATTTAGGGACTCACACTGGTGTCCACTTAAGGTAATTCCTCTGAAATAAAAGTGACAATAGATTTTTGTTCAAACTTTGTCCACTGAATATTTATCATATGATAACTTCAATTTTGAAATAAAAAAGGGGGGTGCCCATGCTCATTAGGGAGCAGCGAGGCATTGAAAATGCCCCATCATTGTTGGCATTATTTAATGCTTATTATAAGAACGCATTCCCAGTAATTGTAACATCTCCGTGAGCCCGGACTCATAAGAACACGCAGTAAACTACAGTCAATACATTGTGTCGGACACAAATAAAGGTTTTAAGTTTGATTCAGACAGAAAGCTAAATCCTTGGTTAAAGATTTGAACCAATTTCTTGACGTGGTTACCGACTGCCAAATAGAAAAGACCACCGTGTATCTGCTATTTTTCTTATTTATTCAATTTTCAGCAATAGAAATTAGATCAGTCTTTTCTCACGCAAAGCTTGTGATTAGTTGATTACAATGAGTGGAAAAAAATTGGGGTGCCCGTGTTCGTTGGTGAGCTAGAGCCATTTTTCAACTGACAGAGCTTAATATCAAGGCAAATCCGTCATGTTTTCAATGTGCGCGTGCACGAGCGCGCGCTAATAACGCCATCCCTACTGCGCACGATTTTCTAGTCATTAGCGCGCGCCCACGAGCGCGTGCATATGCAAAATGGTGGTTTTTGCTAAACGGCTTGCCTTTCATTTTTTCTCGGAACGAGTACGGGGACCTAACGATTTTTTTATTTAGATCGAATGCAGCGATCACCTTCTTTCTATATAGTGAGTAAAGACCAATTTCTATTGCAGAGTAAAAAATTATCATGGAAAATTAGAGCAAAGCTAGCATTCGTAAAAGATAATATGTGGCTCCACAACACTGCGTGCTTGGGACATATTGTATCCCTGTCGACTAACGATGAGTGCCCTAATCATGAAACGCACATCGAATTGCTCCTTAACATTTATGCAATACATCCATTGTTGTATTTCTCCCTATTTTTCTGCTCTCTTAAAGCGTAAGTGAATGGTTCAAATATAAACGTTTCTGAAAGCAGATAATTTCAGGAATTATGGGGTTTATTGAAGGTTCTCTTGCTCCTAAACGAATATGGGGACCCCCGTTTTTTATTTCAAATTTTAAGTTCTCTTGATATAAGCAGCCAACAGGTAAAGTTTGAAAGAAAATCTATTGTGAGTTCTATTTCGATGGAATTACCTTAATAGAGGATYTCCGGTTAAATAATATGGGGTCAGCTTAATACAGGTTCAATACAGGAGATCTTCTTTCAGTTCTCTCTCCTCCTGACCCCGCGAAAAAACCGTTGCTACACAATTCATCATCATCATCATTATCATCATCATCATCATATCCTTTTCCCTACAAGGAAATAAGACCTTGCGTTCTCACTCTCCAAGCTTCTCGGTACCAAGCACATGCACCAGCATCCAGCCAGTCTTTGAATCCCGGCAAACTGCACTCTTTCCCTCTCCACAGTTCGTCTCCAAGTTTTCCTAGGCCTTTCTCTTCGACGTCTTCCTTCCTGGGTCCTTGTTAGCGCTCATTAATATACCACTAAGAAGACGGTTTATTCGAAAATTACGCTTTAACTGTGCTCCGAATTTTTGCATAGTTTTGTCTTCTTCAAAGTCAGAACAGTGCATAAGGGCTTGTGTATCGTGACATTTTCTGTAATGAAAAACTCTCGCTATGCTCCAATTCACCTTATCAGCGACGTAATTGTCTTCGATTGGCATTACTATATGATGTATTCCTTGTTCGAAAATTTTTCGTGGATCAACAACGCATTTGTTCCAAAATGGAGTAGGCTTTTTCGTGCGATGGAAAACATGTTGCGTCACCAATAATCGTGAGGGTGGCAAATCGTCTTTTGAAGGGTCGAAAGTTACACTGTCCAAACAGTGGCCACAATATTCTTGTTTGTGGATTTTCTCCAGAAAGGTGATTATATTTTCATACTGGAGCGGCACAATGAACTCATCTAAATCATTGAACGCCACAAAATCAAGATGACTCATAGATCGAAACAAGCAATCCATAATGGACAATGTCTGCCCAAAATAGTGGATATCATACTTGCCGATATAAGAGGGTAAATTCCAAGGAAGAACTCGTGCCAACCCCTTATCTTCGTAATAATTCAACACTCTCCGTATTCTCTCACACGCTACCAAGTTATAGAAAGTAAAATATGAAGCTCCCAAAATCTGCGAGAGTTCCAAAAACTCGATCAACCTGTCGAACGATATTTCACCATGCAACGGAGGAATACAAATTCCGTATTGCCTGCGGCTCACGTTCTCCGTACCATGTTGATGGTCGATAAAACCCACGGGCAAGACAACCGAGTCAGTGTTTTTGTTTAGAACATTTGAGATTGGTCTTGTGGAGATATTTACAAAACAAGGTTTGCAGTCGAGTTCTGGTGGAAGAAGACAAGAGCCTATGAAGCACCCAAACTTCATGAAGTGATTTCCGCTATTTTGATAGAAGGAAACCCTGCTGGTGTACACGCCATTTTGTTTGGGCGCGCAAGTTTCGAAATGGCAAAAAAGCGAAGGTAGAGGATCTCTTGTTGAGGTCAGTAACAAAACTCGAATGAAACTCTGAACTTTTCGATCATCAAACCACGCTGAGTAAACTAGCGTCCCCCTTTCAATTTCGCGAAATCTTGACTCTTCGTGCGTTTGCCTATATGAGGACTTTCCATCAATCGTTTTTTGCCAGAGTGATTGCCAGCTAACTGAAATCGTGTCCACACTTTTGTCAGAATCCAATTTCAGTTTTGTGCTGCGCTGAAGGCCACTGTAGCGACGGTTTCCTTCATTGTGAGAATACTGAGAAATTCTAGGATGGACGATTGCACCACCTTTACCTGGGGTAGCCGCAAGCATAACGTAACATTGGAAGTATAAATGTAAAAACGTTCCCACAAAAACCAATATGAAAATCGCCCAAAACGTTCTGAAATAAGACAAATCGCGTGTCCACGACGACATCGTAGCTAAATGCCAAGTCTTCCAGTTAAAATAGATTCGCTGATTGGGGGACTCAAGTAATTCAGGTAATATGTCATGAAAGTTCCAATTTCATTGTGTTACAGTTAATCCTATTTTTAAGTTGCGTGATTAAGGAAATATAGGAATAATAGAAATCGGAGGCACGAGCCTGACAGTCTCAATTAGTTCAGTCGATGATCACCAGCTACTTTTAGCACCAGATTGTGAACGTGTTTCATCTTATCAACAAAACATGCAAGCTTGCGTGTCAGGTAATATTCCGGGATCAAAGAAACTGTTTAGAAAAGGTTTTAAACCAGTTAGCCTGCGAACAGGCTCCCGAGGACGGAAAAAATTTCGGCGAGCGCGAAACAGAAGAATTCAGAGAGCAAAGCGATCGGGCTCACCGGGAGCCTGTTCGCGGCTCATGGCTCGTGTACGACGACCTGACTGACGTCATTCAGTAAGAAGATAGACACTGAAGTACATAAATAGCTGAGAGCATTGAACACAGAGGAACAGAGGAACAATAGGAACAGGGGAACAGAGGGACAGTAAACATAGAGGAACAGAGGAACAGTAGGCACAGAGGAACAGTGGGCATAGAGTAACAGTGGGCACAGAGGAACAGTGGGCACAGAGGAACAGTGGGCACAGAGGAAAAGTGGGCACAGAGAGGAACAGAGGAACAGTGAGCGCAGAGGATCAGAGGAACAGTGGGCACGGAGGAACAGTGGGCACAGAGGAACATTGAGCACAGAGGAACAGAGGAACAGTGGGCACAGTAGTACAGTGGGCACAGAGGAACAGTTTGCACAGGAACAGTGGGCACAGAGGAACAGAGGAACAGTGAGCGCAGAGGAATAGAGGAACAGTGGGGACGGAGGAACAGTGGGCACAGAGGAATAGTAGGCACAGAGGAACAGTGAGCATAAAGGAACAGTTGGCACAGAGGAACAGTGGGCACAGAAGAACAGTGAACACAGAGGAACAAAGGAACAATTGGCACAGAGGAACAGTGGGCACAGAGGAACAGTGAAAACAGAGGAACAAAGGAACAATTGACGTCAGTCAGGTCGTCGTACACGAGCCATGAGCCCTGTTCGCAGGGTATAAACCAATAAATTAGGTTTCGCTAAGCTTTAAGGAGTGCCGTGCGTTGAGTCATTTAAGTACAAGTACACAGTCAGAGCGAGAGAGAAAAACGAACCTTGTGAAGTTTGCGAAGAACGGACGCGGACAGCTTCAACTTGACTTTTATGGTCATTTCTATTGTTTGAAACCTCTTTCAAACGGACACTGCAAAAAGGATGCATGTGTTTTTGTCCACGTTTTAATAGATCTGTCATTTAAGTTTGCCGACAAAGAGCTGTCACAGAAATGCGATATTTATTATTCGGTTTTGTTTTTACAGAACTTTTGTTCTTGTTTGATTTTGTGAAACTTCACACAATTCAATCAATGTAGTTACTGTTGCTATATACTTAAATCGCCTTACCTCGTATGCTTGTCATTGTTTATGGAAATACGGTATTCCAGAGTTATCAACCGTCTACGACAAATGCTATTTGACCCTTTCAAGGTCATTTAATACTGACCGATGTCAATGACCCTTTTCAGTAAGACAAATTCTGAGGGGACCTGCTTTCAACGGACATCCTGTACTAAGCGGACACTAGCACGGGTCCCGAGGGTGTCCGCTTAAAACAGGTTTGACTGTAGCTGGTTCGTGCTGAATACTGCGTTAATTAAATGCGGTAAAATAATGCATCGGACTGACCGAGAAATAGTTAAACGTTGCCACCAGATAAATTTTACACTACTTGAAAACAGCGAACACGACCCTCGTAAGTTTTGGAACAGTATGTGGCAGATTTAAATGGCTAGCAAAAAAAACCCTCATGATCATCGACCGAGGGCTGTTGAAGTGCTTTGCTTAGGTAAAGAAAGGAGCGGGCATAATGATCGAAATAGCCGCGAGCGACCCATAGTATCACGTTGAAAGTAGTCCCAGACCCCACAGAGAGGAGGGGGAGGGGGTTGGGGGCAAGAGAGACTTCCGATCAAGCTTTTTCCTCGCCGGTAACTATGTTCTAAAATTGTATTTAAGTAATATATCGAACACGAAAGACCGTGTTTGACCACATTTCCAAACACCGAGAAGATAGTTGTTTAAACTTGATGAATTATTAATGAGTTTGAGAGCTAGTTTCAACAACCGTGATCCGCCGCAAGTGGAGGTCAAGTGCGTAGGGGAAAATCAGCGTTTATCGTGTTTTTGTTGTGATTTGAGCAATGTAATAAGCGAGTTTCTTTTATCTCTCAAACCCAGGAACAAGGCTTGGATATACAACTCTGCTACTATAACTTGGCCTGTCTTCCGCGTCCGAAAAAGGGAATATTCTGTTCAAAATTCCCAGATACAAAAATTCTGTTCGCAAACGCATTAAAACTAATTCTGAAAAGACGGCTTTTCAAGTAAGTACTGTTATCTTCAAATCTGATATATATTATTCGGGTACATTGTATTTTACACGTGGTAGTAGATGTAGTGGTTCCCACTTTTAAGACGCGACTTAGCTATATCACAATATTTCTTCAAATTGAAATAACCCTTAGATTGGACCTGACCTGTAAAGATAGGAAAGCACTGAGAAGTTCATGATAAACCAAATTAATTGGGTCAATGACTGACACATAAGCAAGCTTGTAAACTGATGAGCAAATAAGTTTTCCCACCAGAGCTCTTCCGTGTTAAATACACAGCAAAAAGGAACAACAACAACAACGACGGCGACAACAACAACAGAACAGCCAATCTTCACATTATCGAATTCATGCTCAAGGCAAACTCAGACCCCACAAAAGACTGGGTCAGGAATATAAATGAGCTGCTGCAAACTTTATAGCTCAGCGGGTGCGCATCATGTTTGCACCGGCAAAGAAAGGGTCAAACGTTCTTTTGATGGTATCTGAAATTGGACTTTCTTATAACAGAATTGGTTTGACTCGTCTCGAATAGGGATGCGTTTTTTAACTGTTAGTTAAGATCCGAGATCTGCAAAAAAAAAAAAAAAACCTGATAGCTGAGAAATAGGCTGAAAGTTTTAATGGCTGAGAAATCGCCGAAGATTTATGTGATAACCGATACACCCCCATCAAAACCCTTAGTTTTGAGTAACAGCACAAAACAAGTTTCACACTCAGTTATACAGAACTAGAGGTAGCCGGTACAAAGCGTGGGTAAACGTCTGACAAAACAAACAAGTCGCGATTAATTTTGGTTTTCATCAAGGTTTGAATTTGATTGGTTGAGTAAGTGGCGCGAGACATTAAGCGTACAGGAAGACAAAACCAAAACATTCTAGTATTTTTTCAACAAGCAGGTGGAGGCAGCTCTACCCAACCAAAGTTATACCACACCTTTTTCTGTTTGAATACGTTGAGAAATATGCTAGAATATACTGAAGACTGCCAGACTCAGTTTTTGGTGACGGATAACCCCTTCATCAGTGTTCGTTCCTCAAATTGCAACCGCTAGAGTTCTTATGTTTTCCGACCTTATGTTATGTTATCTTTTCGACCTTTTTATGTTTTCCGTCTAATATCTTTTACATTATAAACACCAAAACAAATCACTGCAGGCAATTGTCAGGTTCAACCGTCACCTGGCATTGCCTAAAAAAGCTAATAACATTTTTTCTTTTCAAGATCAAGTGTGTTTTTGGTTTAGTCTTTTGACCCCTCTGCGGGTATGCTCCGACTTACATAAAATATGAAGTTGTTGAAATTATTATTTTGTTTTCAAGGCCAAGAGCAATTCATAGCTAGAAAGGGGACTTCCGCAGGTTTAAAAGCTTATAAAAAAGAATAGTAACTAATTGAAAATAGCCTACATCTCCTTGTTAGAGACATTTTGTGCACTTCATATAAGTCTATATTGTTTTCGCATCGAATCCACAAATTTGTTCATTTTGTATATAAGAACCAGTGGCCGGTGGTATGGAGTTTTGGTGGAAATAATTGTTGTGAGTTTTTCAGAATAATCTTGTGGCTTGCCCGCAGGGTGTTCCTTCCTATTAGGATTACGACGGTACTAAAATCTGATAGAATAAAAAGGCGCTTTGAAACACACCTGCCTAAATATGATCTGACTAACAATTGAGTACATAAGCAACGGAGAAGGGACATCTTACAATTGCATTCAGTATAAATATTAGCCCTTAATTTACAGTCTCTGTTGTGGTAACTCGAAAGTAATTAGTTTTCGCAAATGTTTTGATACCCAGTTTTGATAACCAGTATGATTTCCCTGAAGGGTCTGCATAAATATTTTATCTACTTCATGCGCGGTCAATACTAGTTTAAACATATATATAAAAAAAAAAATAAAAAATTGTCGTGAATAGATGTGTGATTTCTCCGCGATTTTTTTCACGGCGATTGCAGGGTGGAATAACTTCTTCTGCATAATAACTACGACAAATTATGGTCGAAAAAGAGAACTGAATATACAGCGAAAATCCAAGTTGTTTTTGGGTGATCTGGCTTAATGCTTTCCATACAAAACATTTACCGTTTTGACTGTCTTGTGGTAAAGTTAACAGCGTGCGCTCGACGGTTTTAAAAATCCCTAAGTGTTTTATAGACCTCGTATAGCATTGGAAGAAACACAATATACCTTTCAGAATCACGCCGTGTCCCACAATTTCCAGGTCTTTTAGTATGTCTTTTTGTATCAGTATTGAGTCAACTAAATTAAAAGAGTGGTCTATTAACTTGTAGAAAAATTATCAAGTTCTGCCTCAGTTATTTCAAAATTACGCTTTAGCTGTTCTCCATATTTTTGCATAGTTTTGTCTTCCTCGACGCCAGAACATTCTGGCGCCATTAAAGCATACGAATCGTCGCATTTTCTGTAATGAAAAACCCGCGCTGTTCTCCAATTCACTTCATTTACAATGTAATAATCTTCTATCGGTTTGCTCACATGATGTACGCCTTGCTCGAATATTCTACGCGGATTGACAACACATTTAGTCCAAAACGGAGTGGCGTCTTTTGTGCGATGGAAAACCCGTTGCGTCAATAGTGGGGAGATTTGCAAATCTTCCCTTACAGGGTCAAATATGACACTCTGAAAGCAGTGACCGCAATGCTCATCTTGATGGATTTTCTCTAGCAAAGCGATCATGTTGTCTTGTTCAAGGGGCACGATAAACTCATCTAAATCATTGAACGCTACAAAATCAAGTTGACTCATAGATCGAAACAAGCAGTCCATAATAGACAGAGTCTGCCCAAAATAGTGGATATCATACTTGCCGATATAAGAGGGTAAATTCCACGAAAAAATGCGCGCTAACCCCTTATCTTCGTAATAATTCAATAACTCACGTACTTCCTCAGACACTGCAAACTCATAAAAAGTGAAAAGCGAAGCTCCCAAAATTTGCGAGAGTTCCAAAAACTCGATCAACCTGTCGACCAATATTTCACCATGCAACGGAGGAATACAAATTCCGTATTGCTTGCGCCTGACTTTCTCGGCACTGTGTTGATGGTCGATAAAGCCCACAGGCAACACAACCGAGTCAGAGCTTTCGTTTTGAGCCGTAGAAGTCGATCTTGTGGAGATGTTTATAAAACAGGGTGTACTGTCGAGTGTTGGCGGAAGAATACAAGAAGCTATATAGCCTCCAAAGTGCATGTAATGATTCTCGTTGTGTTGATAAAAGGAAGCGCTACTCACTGCTGTCTTTTGTTTTGCCGCACTTTCGAAGTGGCAAAACAGCGGCGGAGGATGTCTTGTTGAAGTCAACAACAGAACCCGAATGAAAGACTGAGTTTGTCGATCATCAAACCAGGCCGAATACACAAGCGTCCCTTTTTCAACTTCACGAAATCTTGACTCTTCCTGTGTTTCTGTACACGAGGATCCCTCTCTTCTTGTCATTTCTCTTAGGCTAGTTAGAAGCGAGCTACCAGTTTTAACCTGGTTTAATTTCACTGTTGTGCGTTCTTCGAGATCTCTGCTAGGACTCTCGACCAATTGACCATGATCGCTACCTTCATGTCTAGTCAACGTTTCTAGGTCATGCCAGGAACGTGTCTGAAGGCTGCCGACTCCTTCACGAGGAGTCGCTTGTAAAACCGCGGAAAGTTGAAAGAGCAGAAATAAAAAAAGCCCTGTGGCAAAACACACGGAAATCGCAAAGATATTCGTTCTTCTGCAATAACGCACACCGCAAGTAAACTTCCTCATCGCAGAATTGTTTGACTGGATGGGACTCAAAAAGATGTGACCGCGTTCAATATACAATACACACTACTTTATTTTGTCGAGACAAAAAGATATTTGTTTTTGACCAGGCGTGAGGTCCCGATATGAAAATATTGACCGACTTCTGTTTTTGTTCATTAATGCATCGAAACAAAGTTGAGGTCCACTTATGAACAAAAACATGAAATAACGATCAAAAAAAGAATTCTAGAAAGTTCTGTTAAAAATGGCAAGCGCTTGAGAGACCCACATGAAAAATAAAACTAGACTGTTCGACTAGCCAATCAGATTTGTGGGATTCAGTTCATATCTGGACCGCGCTCGAGGTAGACAATAACGATATGAAAGTTACACACTGCGGGATACCAACCCAAATCTGAAAACCGATCAAAATTTCGCTGAATAATTAAGTTAATGTACTCGGTGGACATTTACTTAGTTATTAAGAACTCCGGGAGTTTGCTAATGACGTGCTGTTACCTGATATGGAACCCTTCTCAATGGCTAAAAGCTCAGTAGGGGGAGATATCGGCAAGGTCAAGGCTTTAAAAAAAACTTTACATCATTTTCTGGGCTTTCATAAACAGACAAACACGGAAAAGTTTCATTATGAAGTACAACAGTCGAAGACCTTCGGCAGAGTCAGTTATCGACAACTTAAGTTAGTCGATATCTATTCGTGTTCGATGAAGCTCTTCCTCACATTAACCTAAATTTCAGGTGAGACTTTGTTTAAGAGCTTTTTAACTATCGTTTTAGTATCACTCTGCGCATGTCAAAGTACTAAACTGCAACCTCGTTCTCAGGCTCTCTCTCCTCAAAGACCAAGGGAGGTAGAGGAGAGAGAGCCTGGGAACAAGGTACGTTGCCGAAACCGCTGCTAATACTAATGATAGTTGCTTAGTTGTCGACAACTCTCTCGCTCTATTTCTGGAAAACTAGTAGACTGTCGACAACTATTTGTCATCAACAACTTACGAAGTTTCAGTTTATTTGTCGATAACCATTCTTTTTTACTTTGTTAACGATAATTTTCTTTGCATGCTAGCAGTTTAGTTACCTGTAACTTGTTGTTATTTACAGCTAACTAGTCAAGGATCATCAACCTAAAGGTAATCCATTGCCATATGTTGTTCCTTAGTAACAAATCTCCAAACAAATAACAGTTAACTCTCTCTAAGACTTAACCATGTCATACACTTCCTTGTTTTTCTTTTGCGCAGACATTGTAATGAGTGAAATCAAATCAGAATAGCCATAGCAAGCCATTTGGTAGACTGGCACTTCACATTGTCGTTTTAAACTTGTAGCTTGAGCGAAGTCGGAGTATTTTCATTTTCAGATAACTATTCGTCGTCTACAAAAACACATGTTGAGAACAATAAAACGTTGACAAACCTGTCGGAGAATGTTTAACTTTATTTTACACAACCTTAATTTGCGCACAAAACTCGGCTTGACAAAAAGTACTTCGAGGTTCTGGCTTCTAAACAGGCAACACACGCCGCTATTTAGTTACTCCCAGTTTAAGATAGTTGACTGTTTCTAGAAATTAATGTGTAAGCATTTCATATTTTAGCTACATCTAATTATATACTACTAAAGCATACACAGAAGCTTATGTCTACATGGGAACTTTTGAGTGTACATTTCCACTATTTTCAGTGCAAACTTTGATTTAACACACCTCCATTTTTATAAAAAATATTTCAAGATATTCCCTAGGATCGTTTCCATGGGACACTCTCCTAAGGGGCTCTCAAACAAAGGTTCTGCGGCAACGCACCACCTAAAAAGGTACCTCAATCTAATCTTAATGTAACTAGCGGGCTGCTTTCAGCTGCAAAAAAATTTCGGTGGAGTCATCTCACCCTATAATTTGTAATTAGTCGAAATCTGATAAGTGACTTCATAATATTTTCTTGGGTTTCTCTTTTCATATCTTTTGATTTCGTTTAATTTTATCAAGTACAAAAAGCGAAATATTTTCACATTGTAAAAAAATAAAAAGATAAACAAGCTCAAAGGCTTCTAGTTTTTCAGCTTTTATGATTGTATCCAATGTTGTGGTGTAACGTTTCTAATAGTGACGATATTTTTTTTGTTTTATTATTGCATTTTTTTCGGACTCGACTAAGCCTGACTTTCCTTAGCGACGCAAGCACAAGCGCAAGTACAAGCGCAAGCACAAGCGCAAGCACAAGCGCAAGCACAAGCGCAAGCACACGCGCAAGCACACACGCAAGCAATAGGGATGACCCAAATGAAAACGAAATTCGACGCAAACACAAGCACAAGCAAAATCATCCGAACCTTCGAAACTGTTTAGGCGCAAAGCAATCTGGATGCAGCGTTTTCTTGGCCAAACATAACCACGTGTGGTAATATCCTTGTGCTTTTGTTATGCCTGAGCGGTATTTCGTTTTCACTTGTTGCAACGCAAACGCAAGGATAAGCACGAGGGCAAGAAAAAGGCAAAATTTTGATCCTTGTGCTTGTTCTTGCGCTTGCGCTTATGCCTGCGACAAGGCCGTCTTCACGGTGAAATAAGAATTGCTGTGCTTGCGCCGGTGCCTTCGCTTGTGCTTGCGTCGCCAGTGAAAACCTGGCTTAAGCTCGCAATCAATTCTCATAACTGCATTTAAACTGTTTCCCTCGAACACTCCTGAGAAAAGAAAACCAACAAATACGACTTCTTTTCTCTAGACTTAAATATAAGGCATTCTTTTACAATACAAATAGCTGTTTTTTTTCTTTTGACTTTGATGTTCTGAACTGTTGATGCGATATGCATGTTAAACATTACTACAATAGTATTTGCCTCTCAAGTTCTAGCAAGACCTTGTGTTAAAATCCTAGGTTATCAGGAAATGCAATTTGTCAGTCACGTGTTTACAGAAAACATTATCAACCAACAAACGCATTCTCCGAGATTTCGGACGTGTCACGTAACACTTCTACCTAACGTAGAAAGTTGCGTGACGGAGGGTGCAACGCGACACAAATTCACAAAATAGCCATCTATCATGTATTGCTTTTTTTTAAAGTTAAACACTCATAAAATGGGTGTCTGTAAAACAATTCAAAATCTTCCCCAAAACCTCTATTTGTCTCACTCATGCCGCTCCATTTTCACAAACGCTTCCATCCTTTTTCTCTGGTTCTTCTAAAATAAAGCAAAGTTAGGAAATAAAAAATATTAGGAGATGTGGTAAATCTCTCTGTCTCTCTGCCCGTTCCAGACTCATTCTTTCTCCCGTAAGAGGGGCGGAATGGCGACAATTCCTAGAAGCGGGGCTACTGGTAGACTGGGCAGACTACAAGAACCAAGATAAATAAAATTCAGAAACGATATACGTAGTAATCACACACTTAACGAACTATTTGCGTCTCTCATATCAAAGTGAACATGGTTGGCTCATTTTGGTGATGAACATCAGAAATACTAAATCAAAGTGATTGCAGTTACACCAATTAAAACAGCGGAAAAAAGTGCAAAACCGAAAGAGAACTCTTCGCGAAGGCGTCGCACTCAAAATCAAGGGTAGGTTAAACCGAAGAAGCACAAAGAATAAAATAAACACCTCTCACCTTTCTCTGCGGCGGCTTTTTGTCTCTGTAGAATCCTCTTCAGCTCTGCAGTAGCCTCGTCTTTCGGTCGTTCATCAAGAATGTCTCCGGCAGAGTGACTTCGTGGTTTTCTTAAAGTCACTGTTTTTAGTTCGCTGTTATTATTCTCGGCTCCTCCTGATGTCCCTCTACAAGATTCAACATTGGAGCTCAGTTTGCGCAGTTTGATGTTTGCCCATTCAACTCCTGGTTCGTCTGTGGGTGAGGTTATTCCTGGGCCGACATCAACGCTCGGATTTCTCTTCAACGATTTCTGCAAAATGAAAATCACAAATAAAGACCGTTCTTACATCCAAGTTAGAGTCGGACACGCCCTTTACTTTGCTAGCAAAACGGTCCCCCAATTTACAGAAATACTGGTATTATTTACCCGAATAAACAAGAATTGTTAGTCTATATTTATTGACGTCGATCGAATTAGCGCACACGCTTGTTAACCAATCGAGGAACGTGTGATTCATGCACATGGCTAGCTGTATGCATCCAATCACAAATCTCGTACTAATGTTAAATTTTATATATTTGAAAAGCCCAATCAACAACTACGAGAGACCAATGGGGTACTGTAACGACAACTGAATGAAAAATTACGAGACATAAAATTTACCTACCAGCAAATTCCCCAAATCTGATATGACATCTGTTTCGTCGCTTTCGTTGCTTCCACTTGAAGGCTAAAAACAAAACAAAGCTAGTTAATATGACATTGTTTAGGTCATGATGGATCTAACGTTTAGTGTGTGGACAAAACCCTAGTGTGTGAGTATTCAATTGAAAGCTATTGAGCAGTAATTTCATGTGGTACTTTTCATTATAATGCATATGTACAAGGCGATTCAACCGTTTCTATAAATCTGTTGCGTAGTAACTTTCATGTGGTAGTATTTATGTAGTAAAAGTGTCGGGTATGTAACTATTTCAATAAAAACTAATGAGAGGATTCCTTCTCAATTTTCCCGAGAACAAAATGTATCCTTTACTTTGGAACTCTTAGCTTCGCAAGGTAGAGAATATATCGCACTCAGAACATTACTATTTAAACCATCAAAGATAAATCCATACTTACAGTTCTGACAGGCTTAAGCTGTATGTTACCAGTTTTTATTCTTTCCATCATTTCAGTCATGGCATTAGCAAGTGGGTCTTTTGGACCTAAACAAGCAATTAAATTTACTATCAATATTGCTTTATAAACAAAGCAAATTTTGAGTACAGGCAACAGTTTCTTTAATTATTTCTATTTGCTTAACGTACACGTGTTCTACCGACGAACGAGCCGATCCAGCCTGGGAGACTGAGTGACTAAATGACCGAGTGACCGAGTGAATGGGTGACGAAGTGACCGAGTGAATGGGTAACGGAGTGACCAAGTGACCGAGTGACTAAGTAAATGGGTGACTGAGTGACTGAGCCACCAAGTGACCGAGTGAATGGGTGACCAAGTGACCGAGTGACCGAGTGACCAGGTGAATGGGTAAGCGAGTGACTGAGTGACCGAGTGAATGGGTGACGGAGTGACCGAGTGACTAAGCGACCAAGTGAACAAGTGAATGGGTGACCAAGTGACCGAGTGACCGAGTGAATGGGTGACCGAGTGATTGAGTGAATAGGTGACCGAGCGACCGTGTGAATGGGTGACCAAGTGACCGAGTGACCAAGTGAATGGGTGACGGAGTGACCGAGTGACCGAGTGAATGGCTGATGAAGTGACCGAGTGACCGAGTGACTAAGTGAATGGGTGACCAAGTGACTGAGTGACCGAACGATCGAGTGAATGGGTGACCAAGTGACTGAGTACCGAGTGAATGGGTGACCGAGTGATCGAGTGAATAGGTGACCGAGTGACCGCGTGAATGGGTGACCAAGTGACCGAGTGACCGGGTGAATGGGTGACCGAGTGACAAAATGAGCAAGTGACTGACTGACTTAATGACTGACAAATGGGCGTTTGTATTTTTTATGACAATCATTTTCTTTACATACCTTTGTTCCGCTTTAGACTGTCCTTCTTTTTCTTTGGTCCCACAATGTTCATGAACTTCCTACATTTCAAACACCACATGTCCCTTGATCAATAACATTACTCACTCTGACTACTATCTACTGTCTCGCTATTACATTGTTAACCATTTACTCTGGGCAGCGAATCAAGAAATATCAAGCATTGAATCGATTGTAAACAACTGACTGAAAATCAGGGTTTGAAGCAAAAAAAGGAAATGGAGGAATCCAATAGAAAAAAGACTAATTAAAGTGAAGCATATCTACCTATAGCGAGAAAAATAAAGTACTGTCTCTAGATTTGTAGGACTTTAAACACATCGTTGTCATTTCATATCAATTCGACTTACTTGATAAGTTGAGTGGGAGGTGGTGGAGGAGGGGGAGGGGGAGGGGGTGGAGCAGCTGCTACTGGCGGGGGTGGGGCAGCTGCCTGTTTCTGTGCTTCTTCTAAGCTTTTCTCCAGCTCTGAAACTATAAAGACAAAAAGTAAACTCTGCACAAGATGAGAAGCCTGTACAATACCTGCAAAGTATAGGATTCTCTAATCTATAGACCCAGGGGTCCCTCTCACAAGCAAAGAAATTAAATGATTCCTTCTCTCTTCTAGTGAAACAAACACAACTGCAGTGTGCCTGAATATGAGCACATTTGTGAAAAAAAAGCACACACTGTAACAGTGGAAACCAATCGCCCAACAAGAAAACATGCACAAAGTAACAAAACTAACACACGATGAACGTAAGACAATATACATGCATCTGAAGGGTAACCTTAAAATATGAACACTGAAAACAGAACAGTTCACTCTTTACTACTTGCTAACTTGGTAGCAGTAAATGAACCAAACGCAACACGGATTTGGAGAAGAAAAAGTCTATTATTTCCATTGGCATGTGAATCAGGAATCCTACTACCTACTTCCCAGCTCAGTAATGAACAAAGTAAAGACATCGGTTCCCCATTTACTGGCGCATTACATTACAACGAACTCTAACTCTCCCCAGCAAAGCAGAAAGAACATACACCTTGTTCTAAGCTCTATAACTCAATATCGCCTCAAACAGATGAGATAATCCGGAACTCTTTAAGACTTGTGTAATGTGACTATTGAGGCAGGGTTTATAGCTCAGAGTCTGATAAGTGTTACAACTGGGCAAAAGATGGTCTTCATCACAAATGTTGTTTGACTTGTCACGCAGAATGTCACAGATCTATCAGATATACTCCAAAACATTGCGTGACAACCCAGATAACGACTGTAAGTGATACTAAGAGCTTAAGGAGGTAACAGGTTCCTTTTAAGACGGATGGTATAAAAGCAAATACCTTTCTGGTTAGCATCAGAGGCTTTCTTCTCTGCATCTGCAAGCTGCTGTTCTAGAGACTCTATATGCTCTTGTGCCACCTGAAGCTTCCCTTCTGTCACTGTAATTAAAAATAGCAAACGTACGTGAGCCAACACAGAGAAAATGTCTTGCTTAAAAAGGTTTCCAATGGGTTTAGAACTCCCGGAAAACTGGGTTACCAAAGGATTTACAGGGAGTTTGCCACGCGTTTCAAAAAGAGTTTCTAAATCGTTTTCAATGAAGTTTTCAATCAGTTTCTAAAAGATTTTTTCAGTGTTTCCAAAGAGTTTTCAAAAGTATTTCAGTGGTGGTCCAAAAGTTTTTCGAAACACTTTGAAAACTTAACATGATCATCGCATCTAGTGATTGAATATGCCTACAAAAACATCAATTTTCACTTCACCACACTGAATAAACTAACATCTGCAAATTTAAGAAACTGACTTCTTTTGCCTACAATGTGATCCAGCTCTCGGTACCCCAATACTATACTATGTTAATACTTAGGTCTACAATTTATTCTGATAATATCAGTCTTAGATTTTTTCAATGTAGCTTTACTCACCACTGATATACCCTTCGTCCTTGGAAGCCTTCATTTCTTCCAGAAGATCCTTTATCTGCAATTCATCAAACAAAGAGTTTTTACCTATGGTACAAAATGCACCATTAAAAATAGGTGTTAAAGTTTAATGATGCTATCAATTTAGATAGAAGCTTTCCAACCCCGCCTTTCTGCAGAGCAAATCTGCTAAGTGATCACATCAATGACGTTTGCTGTCTAGAACATTGTTTTATTTCATGAGTTGAGCGATGCGAGTGTGGAGCATGAGAACGGATCTTTCCCCAGCCCCACCCTGTTGCGTTTTAGTACGTGTATCCCACGCGCCTGGTTAATAGTTTGCTAAGCTTGCGATCTTGACGAACCCAAGAGAAAATAGGGGGTCTGTGGACAGACTAAAATTACATCATACTTTACTATTTAGTGCACTTGATCAACAATGAATTTCTCCTCACAATGTTAAGTAAGTAAGTAAAGTAAGTAAAGACTTTATTTTATACTGCAAGAATAAATGTTAATACATTTCAAAGCGAACAGGTAAGGAGAAACTACCAAATCTGTGAGTGGAATTAATAGTTTGATTAGAAAATGAAGACCAGACTTGCCACAGATTCTCACCTTTTCTTCAGATTCTGTTCTTTCTTCTGCAAGCTTCTTGTTCAGTACACTGATCTCTTCCAGTGCTTTCTTCAGTTGTTCATCTTTGCTTGTTGTCTCAGAGATATATTTCCTTTGCTGATCCAACACATCTTTCTCCCTTAACACCTGTGGTTGTTTAAATTTCAAGGTTTTTGGAATTCCCAAGAGATGTAAAAATCTTTACATTGATCGACTCTCCTAGGAAATCGTTCCTGTAACATTGTTCATAGCACAACACCTTAAACGTTGTGTGACGACAGCAATCAGGAAAATGGTGGATTACCTTGGGATTACGGATATGCAGTGCGTGTGGAGAGCTAAGAAATGGAACCCTAAACATGCATTGCAAACCTATAATACTAAGTAATGTTAAAGTTACACACAGCTCACTGCAATTAAAGGTTGAAGTAATGTCTTGAACCAAAGTCACTAACCTCTGCTGCATACTTTTCAGCTTCAAAACGACATTGACTTTCAAGAGCATACTTTTGTTGCAGGGTGCTATACTCTTCAAGGGCCAGTACAGAAACTGAAAACAAAATGCGAATAATGTACTGGTCTGCATGTATACAGCAGGAGAATGACAACTTGGGGATGTCATGGAATCAGGTGAAACAGACCACACAAAACCAGGTCCAATGGAAAGCTGCAGTGGAGGCCCAATGCTCCAGTTGGAGCAAAGAGGACTATGTCAGTCAGGTTAAGTCTGCATACATGCCAAGTGGCCCATCAGGCCAGAGCTTATCCCGGTTTCTGTAGCACGAAGGGACCAGGAATATTTCTACTCCCCCCTGGATGGGATGCTAGTCCATCGCAGGGTTACCCCCAGCATTAAATTCACCAGTACCAATTTGTACACCTGGGTGGAGAGAGTCACTGTGAGAGTAAAGTGTCTTGCTCAAGAACACAATACAATGTCCCCAGCCAGGGCTCGAACCCAGACCACTCAATCCAGGGTAAGGCACACTAACCATGAGCCCTCTGTACAAACTCGAGATATTTGTTCTCTGCACTAAATATAAGTTTGATTAATACAATGTCCCTTCAGAACTGTTAAGTTAAAAATGTAAGTGTAAATTACAAGTTTGTTGAAAACAAATTTCTTGCACTTTCCCCTTGCAACTGAGATTTACAGAGTACTTTTCAATAAACAACGGTTAGTGCATTGCACTTCAGGTCAAGAAGTTTGATTTAAACCTGTTGCACGTCCTGGTTTATTTTCATGCACGGTACCATAACTCTGACAGTGCCTTGATCTCAACACCTGGAGAATCAGATGTAGACATTAATGGCTACTGTTAGATCTTTGGGCAACATGAAAAAAGCAGTGATGGAGCCCAATGTACAAATACCAACTAAACCGTTCATCTCTGATTTGTATTAAAGAGTTACCTCTGTTTAACTGTTTGAACTGTTTTTCATTTGCAAACAGCCTCTTCTTTGTACTTTCATGGGAATGTTTTTCTTTGTTTAACTGAAAAAATAACAAACAAACAAAACCTACAAAATTTGGTTGTGCAATATTTTATAACATAATAATATCATAATTATTACATAATGCAAAGTGGATTGAAGTGAGTTAAGAAAAGATAGCAATTAAAGTTCCCATTTGTGACATAAAAATGTGTTGCTCCAGAAAATATCCATATACCATCCAAGAAAGATTTTTTGTTTGAATCCCCGCACCCCTCTGACAATTCCAGTTTAGCTCCATACTTTCCCTTAAGAATCTTGGCTTTTGAAACCCCCCTCTCCCTTGGTATTTCTGTTAACCTTTCTTGGGGTGGACATAGATATTTTCTGGAATGGCACAACTGAAACATATAATAATAATATGCTATTCACAGTGTTCATGAGGCCAGTTTTGGGACCTTAACTACTGGCTACATGTACTGAATGTAGGATGCCTACTACCAGGTTAGCTCAGTTTATTGCACACTGGAATTTAAAGACAGAGTTTGTGACTTCACACCCTAATTGGTCCTGATCAGACTTGATGGTGATGGAATTGATGGAATTGAAGAAACATCTCTTGGGCTAGAATGCTGACACATTGCCCTTGTCTGTTATTCTAGTTTGACCAGGATAGAGGACCTGCATAAAAACCAGCTAAGGCTGATGTGGCTTCCTCTCTAAATATTGTAATTTATTTTTACTTAATTCATACAATGAATTAATATATTTTTTAATCCAAAACAGTAGGTAGGGATATTAGAAGAACCATGACACTCTTTAAACTAAGTAGGGGGCATACAGCACTGCATCCAGGTCAATTTTGCACACACTAAAATGGTGACGTTCAGTCAGCTGACCTTATTTTGTGTGGCAGTCAACTCCTCTTTGGTACTCTTCACCTCATTCTTTAATGATTCCACTAAACCTTTCAGTTCTAACAAAAATATGAATGCAAATATTTACAGCATTTCAAGATATAAGGCAGTACACTACTGTCTAATCTGACTGACTACATTTAAAGCATGATAGTTGTGTAATGGCTGGAATCAATGAAAAAAGTATTGTTGAGATAATTTTTTCCTGTTTTAAGACATGAGTATGGTCTAGAGATCCCTAATTTACCGCTTCTATGTGCAACCCCTGCCCAGTTACTGAACACAATATAGCCAATTTCAATATAATAAAATTCTAACTTGACGCCAAGGCTTAGGGGATTTACAAAGCAAAAAAAATCATTTATTCATCCTATGACCTTGATGTGACTTCTTTTGTTTTATTCCCCTAAACCTTGGGGGCAAGTTAGAATTTTATTTGAAATTGGCCATATTGTGCAAACTCCATGATGAAACCTGTATTCCAACATACATGTTCAGTATAATAAGAGTTAATTAGTGAAGGATAGCAATTGGACACTTTGTGGGTCTGGATGTGCAAAATAGGTTTGGTAGTGCAAAGGAATATGGCACCAGGAGAGAATGTTTATCTTGTAACTGTTGTGTAACCAAAACCAAAGTAATCACATCTGGCCAATCAAGAAGCAGCCAAATATTGCAAGATGCCACATAATGTAATCAGGGCTTGTATACCATAGTAACAGGCACTTGTGGCAATGAAGCACAAAAATATTCAGGACTCTAGTAATTGATTGGTTTTGATTTTTGATCCTGTCAGCTGCGACAACATGCCTGGTCTTGTCAGCTAGACTAGTTCTCATGACCATTCAAATACAAACAATCACAGAACCGAACAGAAGGTGACCATTAAGCAAACAAAAAATACTTTGATGGTATGTGAATCCACAACTGCTCTTGAACAGTGATTACAGTTTTTTGAACTCACTAACACACCTTTGATTTCTTCTTGAAGAACTGCACTGTCACTTAAAGATTGTTCATCAGTTTTAAAAACCTCAGGGGAAGACAGCTCCTCCTAGTAAAATATAAAAACAAATGAGTGCAAACAAAGTCAATAGTAAAATATGGTATATAACAATTTTTTTGAGAATTATTTTGGTGAAATACTTCCAATAATTTCAATTCTCAACATTATTATGATTCTTGCCATAAATGTAAGATTCTTGCTAAACTTGCCTTGATGCTCTGAAGAACTGGAATAAATTTTTGTAAAACATATTGATCTCTGCCTTAACTTAGTCAAGTGTCTTTTTCTCACGAAGGCTGATTTTCCCATGAGCTCTTTTTTAATATTTCATTAATTATGCTAAATAAAGTTAATAATAAAACAAATAAATCAGAATTACATCAATTCATATGGACACCATTAACAAAACCACAGAGGGTATCTGTTATAAAAAAGGCATCCATACTAAGCTAGCAGGTGAATGAAAGGGGCTAAAAACAAGGTGTTCACAGTAAGTGTCTGCAACTTTAAAGCGGAGACTGACTTTATGGAATAAACCAGAAAATAAAGAAAAAAAACACATACCAGATTCACTTGTCCACCAACTTGTGAGATGAGTAGCTGGCTTTGACGCTTGAGCTTCTTGTTTTCTTGAACCATCTGTGGCATTACATGTAAATATATTATAAGTAGATTGTTTTCATGCAACAGTTTGGAAGCAAAAATCATTACTGCAGGTATGAACTGTATATTGGCTGGCTTGTTCATGTATATGTCTGAGTATCAAGGAATGATCTTAAACTGCAATTTTTGCAATTAAAAAACATTGCAACAAGCTGGCAGCAAAACATGTAGTATTCCAGGTGAAGCTCATGCTCCGAGTGCCTATTTCATCCAGGAATGTAACTGGGATTATCAGTGCACCCTCCACCCAACCTCTAGGGTTATTGGTCCCTTTGAGTGAATTTCAATGAAAAAATCCCTTGGGAATGATTGAGGGAGCACAAGCTCTTTCCCTCTGACTGATTCCCTGTTGATTTAAGCCAGTCTTGTTTGAAACGCACTATGAAACAGGATACATGGACCTGAAACAAAACCCTCTGAAAAAATTGAGACATCAAGAGATACTCCCCAAGACAGGTGTCCTAATGTAAAGTTGCAACAACCCTCCATACTTGTGTGTGCCAACCTTGTACTTCACCTTTCAAAAACACCCAAATTCTACTCAATCAATTGTTATTTTTTTGCTGCTGTCAATAATTTAAGTGGGTCCTGTTATGTGACATCTGATGTGTGGGTTGTGATTGGAATTACTTGATCCATTTTGATTGCTAATCTTTTTTCAAGATTCCTAAAATGTTGGCATATTTATGACTGATTGCAGCTCAGCAAACACTCAGTCATCAGCTAGGTTTTGAACGTTTGAGATCACATGTCATGATCAGTAGCACGCTTGTCACGCGCTAATGGAAAAATCACGGATTTGCTTGAATCTTTTAAGAATTTCTCGGCGCACAATGATCAGATCTGCTTGAGACTTTCCAAAAGTGTTACACATGTGTTGAAGATGGTTTTGGACTAAATAGAAGTAGAATAAAGGATTTTTGAAAAAATATAATCGGAGCCGAATTGTTAAGTTAGCGACAAAAACATGGCGTCACGCGTAACGTGCGTGGGCTTCACTGTTGACTGTTTTCTTGTTTTTGCCAACTTAAGTTTCATTTATAACCGTAAGACTTCACAGATGATGGAAAAGGTTCCTTTTTAAGCAAAATGGCAAACAAAAGCCTGAAAATTGGTGCTAAATCTTCCTTAAAATCAACAAAAGTGTTCACCATATGATGCATCACGCTTCAAGCTTGGGAGACACAGGTAATTTTCAATTCATTGTGCGAGCTATAATTCCTGAGTTACAGAACAATTTAACCTCAAAATGTAATGCTCATAAGTTGCTTTTCACTTTCCTTCCGCCTTTGTGTTTATATCGAAACGTTGCCGAGATTTGAATTTTTTTCTGCGTTCTAAACAGTTGGCAAGCGGTGTGATCTGGCGTGCAATAATTCTGATCATTAAATTTCCCAGTCGCATTGTTTACGACAAGTGCGCTGGAGCGTGTCAATGTTGACATAATCAAAATGCTCAAATGACAAGCTAAATTTTGGTACCAAAATCGATTGAATCTGTTAAAAGCTGACGAAAATATTGGCTATAAAGTTTGTTCGAAACATAAGGTCGACAATTTTGATCCTGAGGAAGGTAAGCGATCGAATTTCGAGCAAAGACAAGCGCAACGCTCTGGCCATTTTGGTAGCTTCCATTCCTTCCAAATCATCCTACAGTCTACAGAATCGATAAGCATTGTTTTAGATTTCCTTATTAGGAAGTAAAATATTTCATCAGGTAAGGAAATGAGCGGGAAAGTCCCTGAGCACATGCCGCTTGTTTCAAGCACGTAGTCAAGTACTGTGTTGTTCGCAAGCACAAGGCCGTAAAATTGAATGCAAAGATTATGGATTCTGGAGTTTCTAGGATTCAGATGTGGCAAGAACAAAAGAAGAAGGAAAGACAAGAGAAAAGAAGAGCACCGAGAGGAAATTATTCAAAAGGTCGTGGAAGCCAGAAAGAAAAGTCGAGAAGCCAACTACAGTATGTTCCAATCAAAGACGCCACAAAGAAACGTCGGCGCGAACAAAACCAGCAGAAGTTAGCTTCAGAAAATAAAGGAAAACTTGAGAGAGAGAAAGATGGCTAGAGAACGAAGTAAGCGATACCATCAAAAAAAGAAAGACCAAAATACGCAGGTTCAAGCGGCGGAAGCCGCACGGATCGAAGTTACTGGTACGCCGTTCCCAAACAGGATGGCCAAGAAACGTGCCATTGGACGAGCTAAGAAGGGTCTCCCAGATACCCCGGAGAAGAAAGCAGAAATAATGGCAGCTATATCAAAAAGTCCACGGACGAGGAAAGTGCTCGAGAAACACGGATTAATAAAAACGCCAGAAGAGGAGAAAGAAGTGATTGCACTAAAAGCGCTTGCTGGTGATCTCACCTAAGGCCTTAAAGCCGTCAAAAATGACAAGTCAAACAAAGGAAGAGCTGCACTTGGAGCGGCAAAATCACTTTCTTTTGGTGAAAATGTTAAAAAGAGTAGAAGCCAGAAGACACTTTCGAAGCTCATAGCCTTAGATAGAAGAAGCATCAAGTCGGGAATTGAGAAACGCGAAATGATCTTGAAAGGTGAAGAGCCAAGCTGGCTTGAAACCAAACGAAAAACCAGGCGGGATGCAGTCACTGAAGAAACCAAAGAGGTTGTTTATGATTATTGGAAAATGGTGGCAAGTAGACCGACAGGAAACAAGAAAGACTTGATAAGAAAATGAGTTGGAGTGAAAACGTGGGTTGAACATCCGAAACACGTGCTTGAAAAAACCCAAACGGAAGCTTACGTTGAGTTTGCGTCAATGCACCCAGAGATAAAGATATCTCAGCGAAAATTTGAAAACCTGAAGCTTTATTTTGTTAGGGGAGCAAGGGAACGAGATAGACAGACCTGCATGTGTCGCCAGCACGTTGAACTTCAAATTGTCTTCAAAGACTGCATGAAGTTTAGGAAGAGAGTGATCGATGAAAGCAGAGAAGCTAATCAAGCAGTTACAGAAGTGTATACCTCAGTTGGAAATATTATTGAACAAACACTTTGCCCCAAACCTGAAGACCAAGACTATCATAAATTGAAATGCTTGAAAAGGGAGTGCAGAGACTGTGGAGTTCACAACTTGGTTTTGCTGCCAGAGGAGAAAGGTGTTGGCAATCACAAAGTGAAATGGAAGCGGTACGACTATGTGTCAACTGGAAAACTTACCACTGAAGGAAAAGACATGAAAAAAATAGCCCTTGTTGAGAAGTGCACAGGACCAAAGGAACTGTTCGATTATTTCATTCAGCTTTTAGGACAGTTTCCTTACCATTCCTTTCTTGCTAAATGGCAAAGGGAACAGCTAGATTCTCTTCTTGAAAACCTTCCTCTTGATCAAGCCGTGTGCATCCATGACTATTCTGAGGGTTATGCCTGTCGGTTTCAAGATGAAATCCAGTCCCAATACTTTGATGTAAACAAAGTAAGTCTTCATGTAACAATTCTTTACAGGCATTCAAATGCTGAGGTGGATGGTGTCCAGAGCACAGAAGAGGAACCAGCAATTTGTAAGGAGCATTTGTTTGTAATCTCTGATGACGTCACCCAGGATCATGACTCTGTCCTTCACATCCAGAAGTTAATTTCAAAGCATTTAGAAGAATCCAACTGCACCATTAAGAAAATGCATGAATTCACAGATGGATGTGCAGGACAGTACAAGAGCCGGCACTGTTATGGTGACCTATCCCTGGCAACTCTTGGATACACAGTCCAGCAAAACTACTTTGCCACCTCCCATGCAAAGGGAGAACAAGATGCAGCTGGCTCCCATGTCAAACAGAAGGCGACCTCAGCAGTTCTCTCCAGGAAAGTCACACTATCAAACGCAAAAGATCTTTGTAACTTTCTGAAAGAGAACTTCTCTGAACCAGCTGTTTCCTCATTTCCTCCTTGGCAGAAGTCAGTGCAGTTAAAGCGGCGTGTCTTCTTCTATTTGCCTTCTAGTGGAGAACTGAGTGTTGCACGTAACAGGGAAGGTGGAAGATTCTGCACTGTCAAAGGCATCCGACAACTACACTCTGTAAGGACTTGCAGTGAACAGCTAAAAGTCTTCACGAGGGAAAGATCTTGTTACTGCCATGGTTGCATTGTTGAGAATTTTGACAGCTGTGAAAATAAGGAATGGGTGGGCAACTGGAAGGAGATTGTTCTGTCAAGAGAGCCCTCAGGTGTCATGACCAGAACAACTGAAGATGCAAGCACCATTGAACATTCAGTTCAAGTTGCTGACCTGGCAATGAAAGACAGTATTGTGGCTGTGGCAGCTGAAGAGGACAGCCACTATGATTACTACCTCCTTAAAGTTACTAGCAGTGGAGTCATTTCCCTTCAAGAAAACTTTGAGGATCCTTATAGTGGAAGCATTTATTCCAAAGGACAGGCTGTTCTTCTCGGAAAGTTCTTTTTAAGGGAGAACATTATTGATTGCACATACAAACTAGATGATAAGGTGGCAGGAGTATTCCCAGGAACTGTGCGGTACATTTGTGGACCACTTGTGTCAAAGCGAAGGAGGGGAAGGCCAATTTATCAAGTTCCATTGGATGAACATGAACAAATTCTGGCATCCCTTTAACTGTTTTTGTCTTTAGTAGCTTGTAATTAACATTTTTTGCCAAAATGTTCCTTAAATACGGTATTTATGCATTTTTTACAAAAAAGGGCGTGGCCGCATTGCATCATGGGTAATAGAAAATTAGCTTAAAATGCATCTGAATTGACTGAAATGACATAATTTCAAGATAGGAACCAATTTCCTTCACTTTCTGACTTATTTCTAACAAGAAATGATTCTTAAATAAATTTTTCAATTTTACCCCAATGTTACACCTTTGTACATCAGAACTGTGCTACTGATCCATGGAAAATCATGCATTCAGTAGGTACTGTAAAACAGCACAGACTGACTGATTATAAATTCAACATTTCGGGCTGTATTCTGCTATGATTAGTTATTTCTATTTAATGAAGTAATAAATTTATGCTCTTAATTTATTGTAAACAAAATAATAATGGCTCACATTTGTGGCAAACTCCTCTGCCTTATTCCTGCAACTTTGCTCCACCTCAAACTTCGAATGCAGATTTTCATACTCAGATAAGGCAAGGTTCGAAACTGTTGAGTAAGAAAAGAATGAGTTCTAAAATTAGCAAATTTAATAGTCTTTAGTTAGTATTTTCCAAAGCAGGTGATTACGTACACGTAAGGACCTGATTTTATAAGACGGAAAAGGTAATTTAAATATCGCTTTTGGGGCGCACCCAGATATTGCAAAGTCCCAGCCAATTGTTTTTGATCCAAATTGTGTGGCTTCCAAAAAATTAATATAATTCATAACCTGCCCAAAGAGGTATTGGATTGAAACCTCTCCACCATCCTAACCATCTGGACAATTCGGTTTCCCTTCATGCTTTCCTTTAAAAACCTTTTTAGCATATTCAGTGCCCTTCCTCAAGCTGGGCATTGACATTTAGAGGAGCCATAAATTGCATCAATTATTTTGTTTTCAGTTGCAATAGAAATAGTGTAACAGAGTAATGTCCTTTAACTGGGCAAAAAATTTACAAATCAGCTTAAGCTTGATGACCATGTGAAGAGGTTTACCATTAAGGACTACAATCATGAGTTATTTGATCTTGAGTTTGAAAAAGTCTGGCAGACCATTTCAACCTTGTGCAAAATTCAAGATGGTGCCGCGTGGAGGCAACTGTGGTGGTCGAAGGAGACTACAGTGTTTCCACACAGTGCAGCTAGCCTGACCGCCAAATCACAATTTTCTTTAATTAGAAATCTATTATATTCATATCTATAGCTTTCAACTGATGTATTGAATGCAAAATTCTGGGCAGATATGCTGGAGAACATAACTTATTTATTTGAAAGATTCAGAGCATGCTGCATTGATCATAGTACTGTTACAGTAGAAATATGGCACGATTTTGGAGTTATTCAATGTATCTGAACTTTAAATCATTATGTATCACAAAATCTGCATTCACTTAGCTTTCAAACATTTGGTATATTTAACTTGGAAATCTGTGGCGATGTTATGGAGGAAGAAAACTGAGATATTTATATACCCCAACNTGGCTATAAAGTTTGTTCGAAACATAAGGTCGACAATTTTGATCCTGAGGAAGGTAAGCGATCGAATTTCCAGCAAAGACAAGCGCAACGCTCTGGCCATTTTGGTAGCTTCCATTCCTTCCAAATCATCCTACAGTCTACAGAATCGATAAGCATTGTTTTAGATTTCCTTATTAGGAAGTAAAATATTTCATCAGGTAAGGAAATGAGCGGGAAAGTCCCTGAGCACATGCCGCTTGTTTCAAGCACGTAGTCAAGTACTGTGTTGTTCGCAAGCACAAGGCCGTAAAATTGAATGCAAAGATTATGGATTCTGGAGTTTCTAGGATTCAGATGTGGCAAGAACAAAAGAAGAAGGAAAGACAAGAGAAAAGAAGAGCACCGAGAGGAAATTATTCAAAAGGTCGTGGAAGCCAGAAAGAAAAGTCGAGAAGCCAACTACAGTATGTTCCAATCAAAGACGCCACAAAGAAACGTCGGCGCGAACAAAACCAGCAGAAGTTAGCTTCAGAAAATAAAGGAAAACTTGAGAGAGAGAAAGATGGCTAGAGAACGAAGTAAGCGATACCATCAAAAAAAGAAAGACCAAAATACGCAGGTTCAAGCGGCGGAAGCCGCACGGATCGAAGTTACTGGTACGCCGTTCCCAAACAGGATGGCCAAGAAACGTGCCATTGGACGAGCTAAGAAGGGTCTCCCAGATACCCCGGAGAAGNTGCCGCTTGTTTCAAGCACGTAGTCAAGTACTGTGTTGTTCGCAAGCACAAGGCCGTAAAATTGAATGCAGCGATTATGGATTCTGGAGTTTCTAGGATTCAGATGTGGCGAGAACAAAAGAAGAAGGAAAGACAAGAGAAAAGAAGAACACATTATGAGAAAAACCGAGAGGAAATTATTCAAAAGGTCGTGAAAGCCAGAAAGAAAAGTCGAGAAGCCAGAAAGAAAAGTCGAGAAGCCAAGAGCGGACAACTACAGTATGTTCCAATCAAAGACATGACAAAGAAACGTCGGCACGAACAAAACCAGTAGAAGTTAGCTTCAGAAAATAAAGGAAAACTTGAGTGAGAGAGAAAGATGGCTAGAGAACGAAGTACGCGATACTGTCAAAAAAAGAAAGACCAAAATACACAGGTTCAAGCGGCGGAAGCCGCACGGATCGAAGTTACTGGTACGCCGTTCCCAAACAGGATGGCCAAGAAACGTGCCATTGGACGAGCTAAGAAGGGTCTCCCAGATACCCCGGAGAAGAAAGCAGAAATAATGGCAGCTATATCAAAAAGTCCACGGACGAGGAAAGTGCTCGAGAAACACGGATTAATAAAAACGCCAGAAGAGGAGAAAGAAGTGATTGCACTAAAAGCGCTTGCTGGTGATCTCACCTAAGGCCTTAAAGCCGTCAAAAATGACAAGTCAAACAAAGGAAGAGCTGCACTTGGAGCGGCAAAATCACTTTCTTTTGGTGAAAATGTTAAAAAGAGTAGAAGCCAGAAGACACTTTCGAAGCTCATAGCCTTAGATAGAAGAAGCATCAAGTCGGGAATTGAGAAACGCGAAATGATCTTGAAAGGTGAAGAGCCAAGCTGGCTTGAAACCAAACGAAAAACCAGGCGGGATGCAGTCACTGAAGAAACCAAAGAGGTTGTTTATGATTACTGGAAAATGGTGGCAAGTAGACTGACAGGAAACAAGAAAGACTTGATAAGAAAACAAGTTGGAGTGAAAACGTGGGTTGAACATCTGAAACACGTGCTTGAAAAAACCCAAACGGAAGCTTACGTTGAGTTTGCATCAATGCACCCAGAGATAAAGATATCTCAGCGAAAATTTCAAAACCTGAAGCCTTATTTTGTTAGGGGAGCAAGGGAACGAGATAGACAGACCTGCATGTGTCGCCAGCACGTTGAACTTCAAATTGTCTTCAAAGACTGCATGAAGTTTAGGAAGAGAGTGATCGATGAAAGCAGAGAAGCTAATCAAGCAGTTACAGAAGTGTATACCTCAGTTGGAAATATTATTGAACAAACACTTTGCCCCAAACCTGAAGACCAAGACTATCATAAATTGAAATGCTTGAAAAGGGAGTGCAGAGACTGTGGAGTTCACAACTTGGTTTTGCTGCCNACACTTTGCCCCAAACCTGAAGACCAAGACTATCATAAATTGAAATGCTTGAAAAGGGAGTGCAGAGACTATGGAGTTCACAACTTGGTTTTGCTGCCAGAGGAGAAAGGTGTTGGCAATCACGAAGTGAAATGAAAGCGGTACGACTATGTGTCAACTGGAAAACTTACCACTGAAGGAAAAGACATGAAAAAAATAGCCCTTGTTGAGAAGTGCACAGGACCAAAGGAACTGTTCGATTATTTCATTCAGCTTTTAGGACAGTTTCCTTACCATTCCTTTCTTGCTAAATGGCAAAGGGAACAGCTAGATTCCCTTCTTGAAAACCTTCCTCTTGATCAAGCCGTGTGCATCCATGACTATTCTGAGGGTTATGAATTTTACAAACAAATTATTCATCATTGGCAAGAAATCGTGTCTACGACACTTCACAGCAAGACCGAGATACTGTCTCAGACAATCTGGAACAACAAATTCATTATGATTGAAACAAAAATGGTATATCCCCTCATTGGCACCAACGGGTATAAAGCCAATTTCAGACCTTTTTGACGAGCATGAAAATTGCTTCCAGCCTTTCCTTTCCTTACGCAATAAATACACGCTAAATTGCAACTTTTTACAATATCGTGGTCTTATATCCACGATCCCTCAAAGTTGGAAGAAGCTCCTTCACATTAATTCTGGTGACTCTACAACACCCCCCCCCCCACCAATCTGTACTATAAAGTGCAAGATGTTATATGACAAACTGTTAACCTTTGAAAATCTTCCTCCTCCCACTTCGTACAGCATTGCAAAAGAGAGTCTAAATTAAATTTATCTTCTGCCATTCACAGCCACAAAAGAAGTCAACTTGGCAATGTTCCAGCACAAAATTATACACAAAATTTTAGCCACGAGCATTAGGTTACAGAAAATGAACAAGTTTACCTCCCCATCCTGGCCTTTCTGTCCCTCTGATAGTCAAAACATAGTACATTTAATTATTAGCTGCCCGCAAGCATGTTCCTTTTGGTATAAGTTCCAAAGTTGGTATTCTACCATAAGTAATGCAGTTTACTTCTCTCCAAGCCAGAGGTATTATTTGGAATTACTCATCCCTGCACTCACTGTTTGACCCTCAACCACCTCATAACGCTAGGCAAATACTTTCTTTATATCAACGCACTAAATAATACTATGTTCGTTTTCAGTAACTTCATCTCATTAGTGCAGGATAAAATCGAGATAGAAAAATATATTGCTGGCACATTGAATGGTGAAAGGGAATTTCAACAGAAGTGGAAATTCCTTCTCAATATTTAAGGTGTTTCCCTTAGTAATTTGTTGCAAGGTTTTTTTTGTTTGTTTGTTTGTTTCCTTTTTTCTATAATTAGGTAATTACATTGTATTGTAATTCCTTAAGTAATGTAACATGTAAGTCATAATAAGTAATTGAAGGCTTTCCTGCAAAAAGAGCATATATAGCATTTTGGGCCGATTTTTATTTTTTGCAGGATTGAGCTAATTTTCGGCAGACTGACTTGTTTGGACAAGAAAAGCCTCGATGCGTAATTGTTCTTGTTGATTTGCACTTCGTTTTCGAGAAATAACGCATGCAAAAAATCGGCCCAAAATGCTATATATGCCCTTTTTGCACGAAAGCCTTAAACTATTGCATATTGTAAGTAAGTAAGGTAATGCCAAGTATTGTAAATAGGTTTTTTTTTATGTATTGTAAGTGACGTTTGTAAGACAGCAAAAGCATTAGAAATAACAATAACAATAATGTAGTGTAGTGTAAGTAGGATAAGTATGGTGTCATGTTGTAAGTAGAGTAAGGCAATGTAAGTAATTAATGTGTTTTGCAATAAAAAAAGAGAAAGGTTTATAAAAATGACAAGAGAATGCTTCGTGCCCTTGAAGCATTTGCGCATTTGTGTAAAACACTTTATCCAAAACAGCTTTGAACAAAATCTTGTAGTAAGGAGTTTGTTGGGACCCTATTTCAAGCTTCGTCAACTTGTAGCCAAGAAAGACGCGGTACCGACGATTTTTAAATTCACTATGGAACGTTGCAAGACAGCAATTGGACAGGAAACAATGTAAAACAAGCAAATGATGCCTGCCAAACAGCGGGCGAACTCCTCAGTCATTTCCCAAGTAAAATAAGGTTTGTATTTAGATCCAAAGCCTCCCCCACGAAAGGCTCACTGATGCAGAAACATGACAACAATGAAGACACAAAGCAGTCTCAATTCCATTCCTTCCATTAAAGTGCGTGGTCATTTTGGAAACGTTTTCATGAGGCCATCGGCTGTCTTTGTGCTTTTAACTTTTTTACTCCTTTTCATTGCTCAGAAAGAAAAATTTCCACAAAAGTTTCCTTTTACATGTGTTTTTGTAACGTTTTGGCGCCAAAAAAATGGCTGAAGAAAAGATGTCTAAATTTTGGTTCATTTGACCTTTAAAGGAGAACAGAAGACTGGGAGTCATATTTTAAATGGGAGCTTAGAACTATTCAAATAGCCTAGATCTGTAGTAAAAAGCAAGCAAAGTGAATTTTGCCTTTCAAAAGTGATGAACAAAATTGAACTTCCGCCATTTTGAACATCTTTCCTTCCGGTTACTTCCATGAAAGGAATGCCTGCTGCCATGTTGTGATGTCATTGCGCACAAGCATATTTTCATGTCAACAAAATTTGTGAAGAATCTTGTGTTGAAACTGCATTTAGCTTGGACTATGGTTGAGATCAAGCCTTTTTCTTTTGAACCTATGCAAGGCAGTTCGGAGTCAGAGGAAGACGATGTTCACAAGAGTCAAGATGAGCGCTGAAGAGAAAATACATCGTGGTGTGTATGCAAGTGTTGTGCGAACTGGGAGGGGTGTCTACAAAACGAAGACCTAAGACCTAAGACCCAAAAACGAAGACTTGTTTTTTCGCAGGCCTATCAAACCACAGACAGTCAAACCGGGTCAACGCTTTTCTTCAGACAACAACTGACGCGAAATTAATGGGATCTTCGTTTTGTAGATAAGGCCAGCTCAAACTACAAAACGAAGACCCTCGCTAAATTGCTTTGTTCGTTGTCAGCTGACGTGGAATCAATGGGGTCTT